ATACTAAGAGAAATCGCTCTGGATAGGAGCGTGTTTATCTCCCTTGAGCTAACAGTTACTCCCCCTAGGCAACCCGCTTCAGAATCTAATCCCGAAGGACTTCCTCTATCCCACAACTATGGATGGCCAGCCAATCCTTGGGCCGCAAGGCCAAAGACGTCGAGCTAAGAGGTTTTCGCCGAGTATCAAGCAAAGTCCTATTAAAAATATCATCAGCATGGAGAGCATTATCCTTCTGCTACATGTTATCGGGGCAGCAGAGAACGCCGAGCAGGTCACAAAGCTATGCGAGACGGTAAATTTCAAACGGATTACAGACAACGGGCTAGATGGTGCGATGCTTGAATCGATGATATGCAAACGAAACGACCTTGACTTCTACATTCCGGCAAACTCGGATGCAGTAAAAGAGCTGTTGTCAACGTGGTATATGGGGTTATGGATGCAAATACTTTATGTTGCATTCGCAGGGCATTACCCAGACCTGTGCAAGATCTTCGAAACGAAGAAGATGTCTATTATAAATATGAACGGGACGTTTTTGGAACAAATACTGTGCTCTCTGTAGGTACGGTCTTGACCTACAAAATGAAGGGGCAAAAAGAGTTTCTCCTTCTATATGAATGGATACCTGGTATGTCCCATTTTCTGTAAGAACTGATAACAGCTATTTTGTTTTTGTGATATTATTTTGTATATTCATTTGTCAAGTTGGACTCGACTGATATGTTTGATTTTTTTAACTATGTCTCAATCTCGTAGTCTCTTCCCCTAAGATATTACCAAGTTGCCAAACCGTGCACTGAGCCCCTATTGATTACCCTCACATCATTGAATATCAGGCTGCTCTACTTGGAACTATATTCCCAGAACCATCCCATTTTACGTTTCTTACTGTCAGTTGGTAGTGTCGGCCTCCGCTCCACTGCTGGTACCTCCTATACCCAACATATGAAAGGACAATCAGGATCACACCCACAAGAACCCCAGTAGCAATCCCCGCAACTGCACCTTGTCGAAGCCCTATTCTTAAACTTCCAGCTAAATCAGCCTTTATTGTTGGTTGAGTGCTAGGCACTTCACTTGCGGTAGAGCTGGGGAGCATAAGGTCGCCCGATGTGTTGCTAAAGCAGGGGACTCGAGGATGAAAATTCCTGGAAGAAATATATCTAATATCGGCACATGAATACAAAGTCTCTGTGTTGGCAGCGTGGTCAAAGCGAGCTTGATATTTGATCTGCAGAGTGGCATCTGTTTCATTCATGATATTCTTTGGGGGGTCTGGGACGGGATAACATCCACCACCAAGTGCCAGACGTTTGATTCGGTTCGGTTCTATAAGGACAACGAAATCATCATTGGACATGGGATCTAATTTACTCGCTAATTAGCAGTGCTCGGTTCTCTGATTAGTTCGGACCTCTTTACTTTCTTTGTATGATATGCTCAATTGGATATTTGAGGCATCCTCTTCTATTACAAGTGCTAGAACTCCATGTGCTAGTTAAATCTTCATTAATACGCTCCGCTTTCTCTACGCGAATCGCATGAGGTACGCTATGCACTCACATAGAGGAAAATAGGTTCGATTTATCACACCCACGTCTGAATCACAGGGAGCAGCGTTGTGTTGGGCCCCATTCTGCTCTCGGCTATGGGGCCATATGAATCTTACAGGGTCCATCGTGCCTAGTTCTGTTTTGATGTATCTACAATAACCGACCCTGCAGAATATTTCCCGGGTACTTTAAGGTGAAGGCTCTACACGTGATATATATACGTATATCTTTATTATCGTCGTCAGCAATCATACGACCTAGGTGTAACATCATTTGTTTGCCAGCCAAAGCTGATGTGTCAAAAGGCTATATGAGGGCTGAAACTAGCTTTAATGGCCTTATGCCTTACACTTACACAAGGGAGGGGGTGCTGCCGAAATATCCGGACATATTACATGTACGCATAATAGCGAATCATCACTTCGTCGAATGCTTCCAGGACAGTTGCAGTATTGCTACGATAATTAACATCATAGGCGCGGGCAGAATTGTGAGGTACAAGCAGCTTGAATTGATACAGCTTTATTAGGATGATAATCTGCTATCCTTGAGAGAAACCACCCTGGTGACTTACCTCTTCGTCCGAAACTCTGTTGAACCTCCTAGTTTTCGTTGGTCAAATAACTAGTTATCTCTGCCTGTCACATTCAAGCCAAGTTCCGACGGTAACACCAAGTCGTAACTATTATCCTAAGTTGTTATAACAACTTCCAAAACTTATATTACATTAATGATCAAGTGATCAAGGATCATAGCTGTATCTTATAGCTGAAGAAAAAGGCCTCCTCTTTTGTCTTATATACTCCTTATGCACAAGGCCGTTGTGTCGGAAGCTTATTCTGATCTGATAACTTAATATTGCAATTTACAGGTCTTCTATTGGTCAACTAAGCTTTCGTAGCCCCACTCAGATACTTATCTGATCTTATCTATCAATAAGTTCAAAGGGTCGGCTGAACGAATTTACCATGTTTTGCAACATGCATTAATATTGCCATGTGTACGGATGGTTAGAATATATGGTATTCTTCCATTCATGCAGGATCTAAGCTTACGACAGTCTCTTACCCTTTAAGAGCAAAGTCCTCTCGGAGCGTAACCTTTGATCGCTGATAACAACCGGTATACAACGAATAATAAATGTGACTTGGATAAAACGGGTAGGTGCTTGGGCTACATGCCGTCTGTGTCGGTTATCACCTACGAGATGCAGCGAGATTATTAACTCTTAACAAAGCTATTAACGGAGCAGCTCAAGATATAATTCGTATTATTCACGAGGGTTGTTCACAAGCTTGAGAGACCAGTTCTAACAGCGATAGTAGAAGTTTGACTTTATTAGTGGAGTCGATAATGCTTAAGAACCTTCTCTAAAAGGTGGTCAGCACATCCTATAAGAGTTAGGCAGACGCAAAGGGCATGCGGATAAACCTGGATCCCAAGCAAAAACGAAGACCCGCAGGGCCGAGTGAAAATATATCCCAAATACACAAGGTACCTATGACTTTTAGACACATTCCGGTGTAGCACCATAGTATTTAGGGTATCGTCTTTAGGGTATCCTTAGTTGACTTCCAGTTATTATTCGAAGAGGGGCATTCATGGACGATACGAGAAACCTCCTTAAAGTTGTGATGGATAGAATGGCTATCACCACACGATAAAAGGAGGTATGCCTACTATATGATGGCTAGCCGTCAGCAAAGTGCCTAAGGTATCGCGTATTAGAAATACGAGAGGAAGTGCAAGTCTGCATTCTCAAGTGTGGTAATATTAAATAATAAATACATGTGAAAAGAAAGTATTAAACAAATATATCCAACGAGATACCAAGTCCATGCCGGAAGGAGGGTGGGAGTGAAAAGAAGAGAAAAGAGAAAAGAAAAGTAATTGCGTTGATGCAAAAGGGCGCTTCCGCTAACAACTTCCAGCCAGTGCTGCCGATAAAACGCCCATCAAAGATATCCAGCTAAACAGATAAAAAATGGCTTCCAAAAATAAACTAAAACGAAGGCCGCCTGGAGTATGTTCGCATTCCTGAACTCATGCACTGCGAAAGGGTAGCGACTGCGTCAAGGTGAAAAAAAAATGAGCGAGCGGTATAGCTTAGGCACACACAAGCTAAGTGTAGAGTAGAGGACAGAAGCTAGCAGTGCACGACTCTGCTTCTCCGTCTGGCTTTTAATCGATGTTCGGTATCCATGAGTTTGTTCTGCACCCATAATCGGGATTCCTGATCCGTCTTAATGTCGCTGCAGTTGAGCAGGTCGATCAGTGCGAGTTTGACCTGGAGATCGACGTCATTTGACCTGTCGCCATTGTCGTCGGAGAGGTTAAGGGTTGGGTCAAGGATGTCAGCAAAGCAGCGGGATGAAGGTGGAGTGGATTGGTATCGAATTGGGGATGGATGGCGCGGTATTCTGGCAGGCGGAGGGCATGGAGAAGACGGAGATTGTGAGGATAGCTGTGGCGACGAGGTTTGGTGATGTTGGATGTGAGTATCGCGCAAGTTTGAGCGACGGGCGGCGAGAGCCATCGCGCAGCTACGGGGAGTCGTTGGTGATTCGAGAATCGGTTCGTCAATAGAGAGAGTGTTTATCGATATCGGAATTGACTCCATCTTGGTGGTTTAAGTGTTGTATGTATATGTATGTTGGTGGTGTGATTTTATTTGACTGTGGCGGGCCCTTCCAGGGGGCTGTATGCGAGCGAAGCCAAACTGCCACTTCAGGAGAGGAAAAGGAGTGAGCAGCAACACATCAGATGTTCGTCTGGTTCGATGGGAAGGGGACTTTTTATGAAGGGTGTCGTCCTCGTGTTTATACGCAGGAGTAGGTGCGTTGGGTTGAGGGAGTGAGGGTAAAAGGGGTTATTTATCCCGTCTCTAAGGCCCCCCTTGCGACCCTCAAATCAACGATCTCCTCTCCTCCCTGTTGCTCCTGGCCAGGCCATGTCATCACTCCAACCACTAGCGACAAGTTGCTGCGCAACCTCGAGTCTGGCCGCTGTGGAACCATGATGTAATGGGCTTTAATTAATTATGGAGATATGAACCCCCTAGCAGCGGCCAATCATGCCTAGCAAGTTTCGCCGTTTAACTGAAGGATCGTTACTGACATAATAAGCCTGTTCCCTCCCATTGACGGTCCCCAAGGGCAAGGCTATCGGGAGCAGCCTGTTGGGAGTTCCCGGTGGTTACGGAGAAGCCCACATAAAAGGGCACGCCGCAAGCATGAAGACACCATGAACTTGGGAAGCGGAAAAAGTGAAGATAAAAAAGAACAATAGAAAACTTGCTGGCGGGAGGGGGAAAAAACTCTGTGGAAAATCTTGCCTGAGGTCAAGGCCACTATGGGGTCATCGAGGAAGGTTATCGCAGTACTTGGCCCAGGCCGGGCGGAGGTTGTTGATCGGCCTCTGCCGGTGGTGAGGGACAGGTTTATGCTGGTAAAACCTGTTGCGATTGCGTTGAATCCGACAGACTGGAAGCATATTGACGCGGGTGTGGTGGGAGCCGTCGTGGGCTGCGACTATTCAGGCATCGTGGAGGCCGTAGGCAAGGGAGTCAGGAAGAAGTTCAAGAAGGGCGATCGGGTCTACGGTGTCGTCCATGGCTGCAACAGACAAGAACCAGACGACGGGGCGTTTGGCAACTACATCCTTGTCAAAGCAGACGTTCAGTCGCATATTCCAGACAACCTATCCTTCGAGGAGGCCGCCACACTCGGGGTGGGCATCATAACCGTGTGTCAAGGGTTATATCTTGGTCTTGGATTGGATCTGCCCACCTCCCCCAGCTCCAAGAGGACGCCGGTGCTGATATACGGTGGCAGCACGGCGACTGGCTCGTTGGGCATCCAATTTGCAAAACGGTACGTTTTTTCAAAAAGAATACACAGAAAACGAGTAGCGTCTGAATATACCCACGGAACCTGAAATATCCAACCAGAATCCGAAAAAGCCAATTGCAGTTTTGTTCTGGAAAAGGAATTATCTTGCAAGCCCGCCCTTTTTGCTCCGCATATAGTAAACCAACTGCTTTTGCTGACGATCTGGAGTTGAACTCGTAGGTCCGGCTTTGCCCCAATCGCAGTCTGTTCCCCGCGGAATTTCGAGTTCGTTAAAAGACTAGGCGCCGTGGCGGCTTTCGACTATCACGACTTGGACTGTGGCCTCAAGATCCGTGAATTTACCGGGAATAAATTAAAACTGGCCTGGGACACCATATCGCTCCCTGCCAGCGCACGCATATGCGCTCATGCCATTTCCACCAGTCCCGGCGGTCGATACTTTGCTCTGCTGCCGGAGCCCTGTCCTCGAGATGACGTCGAGTCGAGCTACACCATGGCCTACTATATGTTTGGCGAGAAAGTCCAAATGTCCGAGGATGGGCCGGTGATACCCCCGGATCACTCCGGGTTTCGATACGCGAAGGAGTTTGTCTCCATGGCAAACCAGTTGCTTGCGGACGGCAAGATCAAGGTCCATCCTCAACAAGTGTGCGGCGGTGGCCTTGCGGGAGCACTCGAGGGCCTAGAGATGATGAGAGACGGCAAGGTGACTGGCAGCAAGCTGGTATACCGGGTGGCGGAGACTCCTGGCCTAGAACCCCCCGACTCGACATAAAGGGGGGGAGGAGAACTCCTATATGCATGTCTCTGTTCCGTTTTTAGAATTTTATATGACGAAACGGCTCGTGTTGTCTCTGCCAAGTTGGCCCCCTTGTCGGTACGTACTTCTGAGAGTACTTTAGTACTTAGTACTTAGTAGTGTGCACTTGAAGTCAACGGCAAAAATGTGTTTTTTTTTTTATATCTCGAGCGAATGAGGTTGGAGAAGCCGCAGTCGCTGAACTTTGCATAAACGGCGGACGCTGATTGGTTGCTGAGTCATCATACTTAGTCATGACATTATTTATGCTTAAATTTCACGTGATGCATAATATTGCTTAATCTCAATTTATGCATAAATAAAATAGTCACATGACTGTAATTACATAATACTCGTTCACGGCTTAGTCATCTCTTATCGCTGTCAATACAAAAATTCGAAAGTCGCAAAGCAAGCAAGCAAGCAAGCAAGAAAAGAAAAGAAAAGAAAAGAAACGCTGAAGCTGATGAATATTGAACAGCTCAGGAACAGCTCGATAGAAGACAGGCAAGATGGTCCGGAAACTCAAACATCACGAGCAGAAGTATGCAATTCTTAGTCGTTTCCTTTCTCCGGCAGTCTTCGCTAACTTTTTTTCTCTGCGCAGGCTCCTTAAAAAGGTCGACCTCTACACATACAAATCCGACAACAACCACCGCGAGGCCACTATCCGGCGCCGCTACCATCTCCAAGATCCTCTAGACTACAAGAAATACAATGCCTTATGCGGCTCCCTACGGCAGTTAGCTCATAAACTTGCAGCACTTGACCCAGACTCGGACCCAGTGCGCAAACAGCTCGAGTCCCAGATGCTAGAGAAGCTTTGGTCGATGGGAATATTGAAGCAGAACCGTGAGCAAGGTGCAGGACTAAGTAAAGTCGAGCGAGAAGTTACTGTTAGTACATTTGCGAGGAGGCGGTTGGGTGTAGTTATGGCGAGGAATGGGATGGTGGAGAGTGTTCCGTCGGTAAGTGTTCATGCGTTGCATACATGACTTGCGACTCGGTTTTGCTAATGGTACGTGGTAGGCTGTTAAGTTTATCGAGCAGGGCCATGTGCGCGTTGGGACAGAGGTCGTTACCGATCCTGCTTTCCTGGTGACGAGAAATATGGAAGATTTCGTAACGTGGGTTGACTCTAGTAAGATTAAGAGGAATATCCTGCGGTACCAGGAGAAGCTGGATGACTTCGATTTGCTATAATTGTCGGATTTTGTGTCGTTATATAGATATACCCTTACTGCTGTTTTTTTTGTTATGACGGAATATAAAAGTACAAGATTGAAGAGGAGCACTGGAGCAATATAAAACCAGCTTGATGTGTGATCAACTTCTGTAATGGCATTGAATTATCTATGGTATGTATGCAGAACAAATGAAACGGGTTACCTCTAACCCTCGATTGCCGGTGGGAAATAGTGGGAAATATGCTTTTGACTGCAAGACGTCTGGTATCATATGCTTAGGTGGTATGGTAGGGATAACGCAGGGAAGCAGGAACCGGGGGTGAAGAAATCATAGCAAGTACAATTGGCGCAACATTATCAATTGCAGGAATAGTGACGAAGGGGAATAGGAAAATGTCCTGTAGGCTGTCATATGCATGGATGGTGCTTTGCTGTTCGCTGTTCTGTGAAATCAATTAAATCAATTGTGTAATGTGAATGTGGTATCATTAGAATCAGAATGCACGGGAAAATGGGGATTTAATGAGCGGTCGTAATGCGTAATGCATGAAAGTGGTATGAAAGCTAGACCAATGACGAATTACGTCTGTTGATAAAAGGCCGCCATTGTTTGGCGGGAATAGGAGCAGACTTCTCCTTGACAGGCTGAGCGGTCTCGTTCTCTAACTTGAGTCGAGTCAATGCTGAGACGAGTCCATTTCTCAACACACCTAGTCCTTGACGTGGCGGCTGATCGGCAGATTTATCGGCATCCTCTTCCTCTGGGATGTCCATGCGGAACCGCCTCACACTGCCATCGTCCTTTGCATGACCGGCCTTGCATTCTTCGAAAAAGGGGGCTCGAGCATCTTTACTCTGACACCACTGGGGAGCAAACTTCCTCCAGGCACCACGAATCCCACGACTGGCACGGTCAATCTTTTCATATTCCCTTCGTCTGGTTGAGGGAGACGTCCAGTCGATTACTGTCTTGGGGAGAGGCGGTGGTGAAGAGATGTTGTTTGTTTGGTCATGGATGGGGTTCCACGTAGACTGTTGGATGAGTGGAGATGGGGCTCCATCCGACTGGAATGGAGAAGTAGGTGTGTTTTCTTGCCGGAGCAGCGGAGACGCAGAAGCCGAGTGTTGAGGCTGCTGTGCAGAAGAATATTTCGTTGATGCAGTAGGGACATGTGAGTGGGAGTGGCGTGCCGATAAGGAGTTACGTTCTATAGGAGACGAAGATAGCTCTTTATACGGCCCCATCTGGCTGAAAAGCAGACAGCTTTCACGGTGGAGGGCAACGAGGTCTCGCTCGTTACGCTGAGAGTTGCTGCCCATGTCTGACCGAGAGGGTGTATAGTTGGTATAAGTCCCTGGCCCTGCCCCCGATCTGCCGCGAAGATGCTGCATGCTGCGCCTTGGCCTGGTCGACGAAGTAGATCTGGAAGACGAAGATGCCTGTCCTCTCGACGTCCTTCGACGCTCTAGAGAAAAGGAAGATGCTCTGGATCCCGCATCGCTTGGCTTGCGCGCTGATGCCGCGGTAGGGGTGGCCGTGGTGGCAGGCGGTCTGATCAAGCTCTGCACCTCCGGGACGTCCTCGTCGTCTGCGCTGGACATGGAGAAGGCTGATACTGGGCTCCCGGTGGCCGCGTACGTCCTGCTGGGCAACGCCAGGTCTGTCACTGTCTGTCTCTCGAAGTCTGTCACTTGGAAGGGCGGAAAGTAGGATGTTTCATCTCCGACAGAGGCATCAAAGGGGCGCTCATCCTCGAAGAGAAAGGACGTTATATAGTCCTCTTTCGAGCTGGCGTTCAGCTTCTTCTGAGTCTTGGGTATGTAGATAAAGGGAGAAGAGACAGCATTATCTTCACTGATGCCGCCATCACTTGCTTGGGTCTGGCATGTGAGGCCGGCCATGATGGCTGGTGCCGCTAGGTTGGTGATGCTTAGTCGGACGTTGTAGCTGTCTTGTCTTGTCTTCTACCAGAGTCAGCAGACAAACGTCTTTAACCTCAACCTCAAACCTCAAACCTCCGCCCTCATACTGTGAATGAGCCCACTTACACTCTTTATCTGAAGAAGATGGAAGATCCCTCTTTAACGGCCTATCTATCAGGAGATGACATGTGAAAGAGAAGAAGACAAAAAAGGACAGCTTGGTGATTGGACGCGCATGTGTAGGCAATCAGGAGACAGGGAGTTGATCACTTGAAGCTCGACCTCGAAGCCTTGCTGACAGCCTTATAGGTCGAGACGACGGTGATGCTATCATAGGGATGGGGATGATGGAGCTGGGTAGAGGAGCCACCGCCTACAGTGAAGAGTTCGAGTGTATATATATATCAAGGGCATGAATATATATAGAACGAGGACTGCAGCATCAAGCGCCGGGGAGCACTCAAAACAAGAACGGAGGAGCCGATATCCAGGCGCCTACTGAGACAGAGAAGCTCACCAATCATGTCTTCACACCTTCATCTCTGCGGGATGACTCCTGTCACAGTTGGCGCGCAAGACTTCTTCCATCAGGAACAGCCAGACAGACAGACAGGGAACCCTCGGCCGTTATAACTAGTCAGTCGAACTGGTGCAACAGCAGAAGCAGGACGCCAAAAAAATGGACAAACCCCATCCTCGGAGCGGGGCAAAGAGACTAGAGGTCCTCTTCTTCGATCGATCTTCTTCGTCTGCTTCTGTTTCTGCTTCTTTAACGTCCACCTGATTGGGCGCCATCGCCTCTCCTTCTCACCGTAAGTGTGTGAGAGCCCTGTTTGACGGACGGGAGCATGTTGCCCGCGCAGGGGCACACGGGAAGGGCGAACCAGGAGCAGAAGCAAAAAAAAAAAAAAAAAACATAAGAGCCTAGGAAGGGAGAACAGGCGGTTACAAGGAGGGAAAAAAGGAATGAAACCCGCATGACCCTTGTCCATGCATCATGCATCATGCATCATTCATGCACCTCCGGAGGGAGAAACTAGTCTGACGAATCGTGGCTCAGCGTGGCGGCGCATCGAGCTCTGGCTTGCTGGCCGGTTATTGGGTCTGCAGATGTTTATCAGGGTTAGCTTGAGTTAGTTCCTCCCCGGCTGGCCTTGTCGGGCTCGGACTGGAGCAGATTCTGACTTGAGCTGCAATGCATACTGCGTGGCACTCTAGTTCGCACTTTACAGACGGGGTTGATCGGCCAGGGGAGACGAAGACGAGAGCAAAGTTGCGGTCGAACCGAACGAACCGGTTCGACATATGGCCAACTTCAGTTCATGCTGACATCCATTATGTGTACGGAGTACGGAGTACTGCGTACGTGCACTCCGTACTCTGTCCATGGGGTACACCTGGTGTTGCGTCAACAATGAACCGGAGAAATGGGATATCCGCACATAATACTATTATTATTGTCGATAGACGGGGCGAGATGCAGGCGGAGCAAGTCAGATCGACTCGCTTTGTCGGTCACACGTCCGAAGTCGCTGGCAAATGTCGGACAGAGAAGCAGGTCACTTGCATACTTAACCAGGAGCTACATAGTAGCGGTGACTTTGATGCATGGATAAGGAGACACTGACGCTGGACAGGTAACTGTGCATTTACATACGTGGGGAAATAACTTTGACAAGTAATTCAACCTCTTACTAGAGTTAAACGGAAGAAAGAAGATTCATTGCATGCATGTCATGAGATACAGTACGTTAAAACATTCACACTGAGTAAGTAAACTCTGAGTTCTCCATGTCCGTGAGGTCAAGCCATCTATCGCGAAGTCAGTCGGTCAAAATCATGAACGAGGAGGGGAAGAAGGGACATACTCCTGGTTTTCGACCTTGGTATAGCCTGGCTCAGCTCTGAGCTTGGCCTTCTTTGCGTTCTGTCGATTATACCACCACCAGATGAAGTACATATCGACCAGACAGGCAGAGAAGCATGCCAGGATAGTTGCCTTGGCCGGCGTGTACTCAGGCGCATGTTCGGGGCGGAATGTTTGTGGCCCTGTATGGATACATTAGCACGACTAATGACTAGCAGACACAAGTTGTCGACATACCGATGATGTTGCCTACACAGTATCCGATCAGGTACAGTGCAGCAACGGTGGTTTTCTTGGTGTATCCTGCTACATTCGAGGATATCAAGCCCAGTATACACACAAAGGGAGTCGGGCAGGCCAGGGTCAGGTAGTATCCTACCAGACGGCCGACGGAGAGGCTCTCGGGCAAAGCTATCATGAGAGCAGTGCCAACGATTGCGACGAGGAGGCCGCCTGATGAGACGAGAATGCGTTGCTGGTAGTAGTCGCCGAGGAACCCGTTGAGGAGGAGGGCAACAACCTCGACGGCACCGGCGGGAGTGCCGTAGAGCAGACTCTGCTCAGGTGTATACCCGAATCCAACGATCTATACACGTTAGCCTACTTGATCCTACTCCGGGGGTAGGATAGAGGCACTCACCAGCTGGTTAAAGAAGTTGCTGATGCCGCCTGTCGAGTCCCATTAGCATCTACTGTTTTACACGACCATCATTGAACAGGCTTGGCTGGCTCACCATTAGGGATATCTGCTGCAACGGCATAAAAGACAAACGCCCAGGTCATCGGGTCGGCCAATGCTTCTTTGAACTGATACAGCTTAAAGTGCTTGTTGCCGATACCCTGCTGGTTGACCCTCACTCTCTCCACGGCCAGGATACGGTCTTCCTTCTTCAGCCAGCGGGCATTAAGCTGATTATCTGGAATCAGCCAGTAGAACCACACGCCCAGCGCGACGGTCAAGAGGCCTGTAAGAAGGAAGACAGTTTTCCATGGTGCGATGGCCGAACCGACCGTGCGAGAACCTACGGCAATGCCGTATGCGACCAACCCGCCGAAGATCTGAGCCCAGCCGTTGAAGGAGAACCAGATGTTGATGCGGGTTGCTTGTTCGTGTTTGGTGTACCACTGCAGCAGCTGTCAGTCTGTACTCTACTCGCATATGTCTGTATCGAGTTGGTTAGGTATGTACCTGGGAGGTTATGAGGGCAAAGCCGGGGGTGACAGCAGCCTCGAAGACACCGAGAAGGAATCGAATTGCAACGGCACCGGGGAAGTTATGCACGACAGCGAAGAGGGTGAGGATGAGACCCCATGCGATGATACAAAAGGCAGAGTACTTGGCCAGAGGCAGTCGTTGCAGCAGGACGGAGGTAGGATACTCCCACGCCAGGTATCCTACGGCAGTCAGCTATCGCCCTATCAACACGTCATACGTAATGGGTACAACTTGGCTAGATGAGCATACCGAAGTAGAACATGCTGCCGAGCCATTGGTAATTGTCCTTAACGAGATGGATATCCTTCTTCAACCCCATCACGCTGGCGTAGGATAATGTCGTCTCTACATGATACATCCATCATCCATCAGCACCAGCACCAGCAGGACCAGGCATGTACCAACCACTCGGGGCCAGAGACTTACTATCAAGATAATTCAGCCCGTAAACAACACACATCATGGGCATGAGGTGCCAGTCGATAATCTTAAGCAGCCGCTTGTTATCCTCGGCCGTCAATTCGATCGGACCCCCTTCGGCAAACGCCTTCATCGCCTCGTCCGCATCATGGCTGACGACCTTCTGGCTCTTCTCATGGCCCTTCTCAGAATCCTCGACTTCAACCCCGACTCGCTCCTCCTTGCTCGTCTGGCTCACGCTGACCTGCTCCGTATGTTCTTCGGGTTTCTCGTCCATCTTGTCTCTCTGTACGAGTCTGTGTAGACAGAGCTCCGAGACAGACAAGCCTAGACGGCGCAGGCCGCTCTCTTTATGTACCTGGGATGCCGTCTCCTACTTCCCGGCACCCAGCAAGTTAAGCAGTCCGTTGAAATGGAGTTCTCCACCGGCTTGTAGGAGGCAGACGGGCTAATTCCGGCCTCGCAGGCTGGTGGTCCGTAGGCCAAACCAAGATCGAGAGACGGCGAAGAAGAGCTGATAGCTAAACTGCGTTAGTGACGGCCAACTAGACGTGGACACGGTCTATCTCGCTACTCATCGTGTTTTCTACTCTTTGAGTCTTGAGGATAGATTGAATGGCGGGAATGCATGCTAGTTAACTACTTGTCTGTCCCACACGGAGAGACGTATGCTGAAAAATGCGGTTTTGCGGAGAAAGCAGGGGGGTGCCGCTCGCTTCGTCTTCTGCAACTGTTTGCTGGGATGCGATGACATGCTGGCCTACTTGCCTGCCATGCCTCTTGTTATCCGTCAAGGGTGTCGTCAATCAAATCGACTCATCCTCGGCAAACCCGATGACGGCGCGGGGAGGAGCCTCTTTGGCTCTTATCTCTCTGCTTTGTTCTTCCCGTGGGTGGTTTGGGTTTATAAGGGGTGTTAATACGAGGGCTTCCCAGGATCTACCGTGTTAGCGTGAGACGAAACAAGAGGTCAGCGTGGAGTTTGTTCCGCTGTTTATGTACTTGTTTCTACGTTGCTTCGGTGATGCAGATGCTAACTATTAATTAATACGGAGTAGCACTAATGGAGAAGAGGTAGGTAGGTTGATATGAATGGCGGATGAATAATGTATTAAAATGTGTATATAGCAGGAAGAGCACTAGCTGCCTTCCTTTCCCTAAGGTATTTATTGTACTGCTATGTACTCAAAACGTCATCAGATATTCCGTAGTCGTGACCGTCTCCGAGTTGGTAAGGTTTTTAATTGTCCCCGCTGGATGCTTGGTCGAATGGATTGAATGTAAGATGAGGTTGGTTTTTTTTTTTTTTCTTTGGAAATGAACGAATAAGGAGACGATGCACACTGAAAACCCATTGATATTTGAAAAAGCAGCCCCGTGAAGGTAAAAGGTCCAAAGTTGAAATATGTAAGGAAGAAGCGGAATAAACGCCGTCACGCCGCGCCACGCCGGGGGAGAGTAAATAATCGATTCGTTGCCGAAGGAGAGGGGGGATCTCATCTGTGTCATGAAAAGGGGGGAGAGAGAGTTATCGTGGAGAAGAGAGGTCTATCATTCTCTAGTGATCTATTTGTCGTTGTCTGGTCGTTGGTTGTTCGTGTAAAGTAAAATATGTACTCGTGTATGTGTTTGGTAGTGAATATGTACACCTGTGGGGTCAAGAAGGGAAAGGCGTCGTCTGGTAAGGTCGTTAAAAGGATAGGTCGTTCCGAGTCATGATATGATGGAGTCATTGGTCATGGAAGCATGTCAGGCGTCGAGAGTGTGAGATACCAGGCGTTAGGCGTCAAAGCATTGGTAGAGGGAACCCCTTATTCTAGACCAGAGCCCAGGCGGCAATGGCACAGAAGGAGAGGAGCAGAGCATTGCTAACGGAGTGGATTGCACCAGTACTGCCGGGAGCCTGCATTGCCGGGCTAGTTGGAGATGCACCGCCATCGGTAGGATTGTTGCTGCCACCGCCGTTGGTACCTGTAGGGACAGGATAGCCGGGAGCGGAGCCGGAGCCAGAGCCAGGGAGAGAGCCGGTGCCGGTAGGAGCGCTTCCAGAACCAGTAGAGGTAGTCATGTCATGTCCGCCGTTACCAGACGAAGCCGAAACCGAGGACGAGACAGATCGAGAAGACCGGGAGGTATAATCGGAGTGATGAGATGTTGATTCCTACAATTCGTTAGCCTTTTGTGATCTCTTTCGAACAAAAAAAATATATAGGGGTAAGAGAGTCTCACGACTTACAGCAGCCGATGTCGGCGTTACGACTCCCCCAGTTCCAGTCTCGGTTACGATCCAGCTGCTGGGGAGCCCTACAAGGGAAGTCATCGTTGAGGAGGGTTCATTTGTCAGGGTATTGGAAGGAGAGGATCCGGTGTTGGGGGCCTGGGGGTTCCCGATTCCGCCCCCTGGGACGGTGTGAACGGGGACATGGGCACTGGTGCTTGGGCTAGATGGTAGCGTGGAAGACTCTACCTTAGGGCCCGACCCGGGCTTGCCAGACTTGTTGACCTGTCCGTCAACAGCTTCAATAGACTCCCACTTGCCAGTCATGTCCTTGTAGACGTATTCCTTGCCGGTAGAGTAGTCGGTCACCTTGATGGACTTGACGAACATGGTGAAGGGGACTTTGGAGAAATCGGTTTCACCGCCGGCCCATTCTATATAATCATTACATTGTGAGTATCAACCGTGCTATTTGGCAGCAAAAAGAGGGAGAGAGATAGACATACCGATGGTTCCCTGGTTGTTGGAAGGGTCACCGCCGGCCCAGCTGCCAGCAAGAACTCTCATGGGGGTCTGGGGGTACTGTCCCTTAGCGGCATCCGGGGTGAGTTCGCGGACGTTCTGGCCGTCGATGTAGAAGGTCGTCTTGTCCGCAGTCCAGTCCACGGCGTATTTATGGAACTCCTGGTTGTTGTTTGGAGCTGCATGGAACTTGACCCGGTCGTAGGTGGTGGTGTCTCCCTTGCCGAAGAAGTTGCTCTGTACCTGGTTGGGGTCGCCGCCGAGGAACTCCCAGTCGATCTCGTCCAGGCAGTCCGACAGCAGCACGGCGGAGGAGACAATTCCCTTGCCCGGGGCGGCCTTGATATCCCACTCGACGTATCCGAACATGATGTAGAAGTCCGAGGTCAGCTTGGGGGCGTCGAACCGCTTGCCGATGGTCAGGCTGGCGCCGTCTTTGCCGTAGGTGGGCGTTCCGCCGGTGGCATGGAAACGCGGGCTCTCACTGGTGAGCCCGAAGTCGGCAGAACCAGCCAGTGCAGGGTCGGCGGGACATTCTAGCATCACCGTCAGCAGCGAATTCTCCTGGCGAGTATGTCAGTATGCTTACTCTGCTTGAGGGGGTTGCACTCGGTGGATGTCTGCGCAGAGACGGCGAGGGCGCCGAGCAGGGCGGCAGCAAGCGAGAGCTTCATCGTGCGAGGTTTGTAGTCTTCTAGAATGTTAAGTAGATGATAGCAGGAGGAGAGCAGAAGACCAGGAGAGAGAGGAGACCTGAAGAGGCCCTCGAGGGCTCTCTATATATACATATACGGGCAGGTCAGATACGAGGCCGCAGAGGAAAAGCCGCCAGCCACCCGGCGCAACCAAAAGAAAAGAAAAAAAAAAAAAGGCAAAACCAACCACCGAGAAAAAGCAACGCCGCCCAACCACCAGCCGCCAACCACCGCACTCACCCCCCCAGCCTCCCTTGCGCGCGCGCTGAGACATGCCTGCGATCAGTCGCAGTCGAGGAGGACCCGAGAGGAGACCCAGATGGAGATGTTGCGTCTCGGCCAGCGTCATAGGAAGCGAGCTGCGACCTCCTGGAGCCCCGATCTTCGTGCTGACGCAGCCTCTGTCGATAGTACAGAGTACTTCGTTACGGGATAAACAAGATGCTGATGATGTATATACTTGATAGACACCGGGCTGGCTTGTTACAGCGTCGACTAGTTTGTCCCGCCTGTCGCCTGTCGCCTGTCAGCTACGGAGTGCTATTTTATTATTTTTTGGCCGGCGGGCTAACCTCTGGCGGCTGTCAGGCTGTTCGCCTCCAAGCCCACCCGATAGTTAGGTCGACTCCGGCCCACCCCCAAAGACTGGCGCAGGAACCACTGCTCTGCTACTGCTAGAACCAGGCGAGCTTCGCTGGAGCCTCTCCATAGCGACGACATCACCATGGAGACGAGATATGGGGGGGAGGGGAAGGTGTTAGGGGATGGGATGGGATGGATGGGACCACCGGGCGGAGCCCTGTTTCCCCCCCAGCACCGCACGGCGCCAGCACGGCGCGCAGGTAGCACACAAGCTACTGCACGACAGGACAGGACAAGGACAGGGAACATCTCCATGCTTTGTCCAACGTTACATGGCTACTCTGTACAAGACGTCTCATGATGCGCACGAAGCCTCGGATCTCGCTTGCTTAAACCTCCGCTGTGCTCGAGCTCCCAGCAGATAGATAACAACTACTTGCTGGGATACGTAAGACATCCAACGCAGCTAGTTGACTAACTAGCGAGGAGAGAAGCTCAGGCGAGCGGTGGCATAAAGGCTGGGCCCCTTCAGAATACGCCTGGCTGCACGGCCTGCTCGACTATTTCATGCAAGGTACCGACTAGTAAGGAGCTCGCATTATTGCTCTCAGGCGAGCCTCTCGTGGTGGCATTAAGCTGGCTCGTTAAGTTAATCAGTCTCTTGCGCTGGGTCTGGCTGGAGGAGCTTGACTAGCGCAATGCCGGCTTCCGATAGCCATTTTTATTTTTAGACATCCGGCTACTTGCAACTATCCTGATTGTGAGACTGTGTCTTGGAGCATCTCCTGCGGACGCTGAATAGTTTGCCGCCTCAAACCTCTGTTTATTGAGTGCTGATAAGGAGATGAAAAAGGGGAGAGAACGGAGCGCTGCTAAGGGGTGATGCAAGACAGCGGCAGATGAAGGAGTAAGACAGGCTGCAGAAGGATTGGTCATGCAGATGTTCGACTTTCTCCTTCTCTACTACCTCTTCCTTCCCGTATATCTGGAAAGACTGTATGTCATCGGTGCGACAGCCAACGGGATGGTAACCAGAGCCGAGCAGATGAGAAACTGAGCATATGCAAAGCTGAGAAGCTTGCTGTCATTGCGATGTTGCACAGTTTGCCATTGACGCCGAATCAAACTTGCCCTGATAGCATGGCTGCAAGGTTGGCACCTACTCCGTACGCTCCCTTATCTCGACTTCATATCTCGGCTTCATGGTTTGGCCATGTTACAGCAGCGGGATATGAAGATTAATCTATTTTATTTTTTTTT